GAATGGGTGAATGTCTGTTGGTATAAAGCGCTTTGGGGTCCGGAGGGACTTGAAAAGCGCTCTATAAGTTCAGTACCATTTTTTTTCCATATTGCCTGGCCCTACATTCAAGTAAAAAATAAGTGCAATGCAATTTCTAAGTATGATTTTCAGATAAAGTTCAGGTTAAATAACAGTTTTCACTGTTCTACCTCGACAAACTGATTTTATGTTGTTTTATTAAACCTATAAATTTAGTAAAATGTTCAAATTAATAGTTTTGAGAAGATTTAAAAAAAATCTGGCACAGGGATGACATGACCTTAACTCCCTTTAGGACTGCTTCACTCCACAGCTGCTTGTCAACATGAATGTGTGACTCATTGATGTTAGCAGATGTTTGCAGGTTTGATGAGGCTTCTGGGATTCTGTTTCAAATTCAATACATATGTAGTTGATAACTGTTTAACTTCAACAAAACTTTGATWTTGTTTGTGAATGTATTTTAATAAGCAGTGAGATTTAGAACATTGCACCAACAACAATCTTCCCTTGGGTCCTAGCCTTGCTAAGAACCACTAAAAGTCAGATACTAGAATTGCCCCTGCACTCAGCTGTTATTCATTCATTAGTTTCTCCAGTATAGGTATATATCACCTGGTTTCTCTTTGTTTTTCATTAGTTTGTTGTCATTGCCTTGTCTCYTGTGGTTATGTTTATTTTGAACCTTGCTGAAATTTGGATTTTCACTTTAGCTTGGTGGATTTGTTTGGATCAGATTTCAATGAAATGAATAAAGCACTTCAGAGATGCTTTCATGGCATCCAATAGCTGGTTCCACCATCATGGAACCACAAATAGGAAATGACACAGCCAGGGAACATTCTTGAAATAAATAAGGTTGTAAAGCACAGGTTTGTTTTATGAAATATAATGCTGGTTGCTGATTAAGTGTAACTGTTGAAAGTATTACTTTTCTGAATTTGATTTAAGCAATTATGAGTCACTCCTGGACATTAATGAGGAGAGGAATAATAACTGTGGGTTTGTTCTGTAAATCGGGCAGCTGGTTTGCCATTTAGTTACTGATCATCTATGAAGATTTCATTGTCAATAAAGACAGAGCTGCTGAAAGAGTGTTATAGAAATCAAGAGATTACTGCTGCTGGTACCAAGGGCTGGAGTACACAGATTTTTTTAAATTGTCTAAAAACAAATTGGTTACAAAATGACATCTGGTGTTTTATTTGTTTTATCTTTATTATTTTTTTCTTTTCAATTTTTCTGTTATTCTACAAAATTGTCAACGAATATGTACTATCTTCCAGATAAAAGCAGGCCAATGCAATTTTTAAATGTTTCATTATGTCAGTGCTGTCACTGATTTGATCAATAAATCATTAGCTAAGGAGGAAGTTAAAAATACTCAAATGGGATGTTCCTGACTGGATTAAAATCAGTGACCTGCAAATCTATTAATAATAATTAAAATATCCATCACCCATCACTTATAAAACCTGTCATAAATCAGCCTCAGTATCAGGTTCTGTACCAGGTATCTGGATCTGCCTTCTGTGGGTCACGTTCTTTGGATCTTCAAGTTACTCTACATTTGGCATCGTAATTTAAACCATCAATTTCTGACTGAACAAGCAACCCGAAATCAGCTACTTTTTTATCATGGGCAAGACTTATCCATTTGTCAAGCTGTTTCTGAGTGTTGTAAAGATGTGTACTGTCGCTGGATATTTGTTTTGGGCAGCTCAAAGTTTTTCTCATCTCTGTCGAGGCATGGCCACTAAACAACATGTTCAAAAACTCCAAAACAGGTATGTTTGTATTTATCTACTTTAGAATCCAATTAAGTAAACAACAAAAAAGAAAAAAAGACTCTTAGATCATTGTGTACTCAGATTTGTTTTACTACTACTACTACTACTACTACTACTACTACTACTACTACTACTACTACTACTACTACTACT